TAATGCAGTCCAGTCTCCTGAGATAGAATGCATCCCCCAACTCAAGAATTTTAGGCATCGCGGAGCAGTCATGGCTTATCATCCCAAAGCATTCAACCGACACCTTTGAAACACCCACCGTGCATTAGGCTCAGTTCATTGCTAGCAAGCCCGAGCACACTGGTTTTCCAGCTCACAGAATGTATGGCCCCTGAGGAAGTGTCTAGGAGGGATGATAGCTTATGGAACTCCCAGAGACTTCTGGGAAAGAGACGAGTGGCCGGATTGATGACGCCCATCAGCCCCAGCACAGAGAACCTCAAACAAGGTCTTGGGGTGAGGGCTGCCCTGACTGCTCAGGCAGGGCCTTGGATGGCCCTGGTCAGAGTAGAGAACACTTTCCCAAAAGGCAAAGATGATTTGCAGCAGTTCTTAGGCCAAATCCACTCCTGATAGAAATGTCTTCAAGAACAAAGAAGGAGGAGGAAAGAAGGAAGCATAAGAAACAGAATAATTTACTTTCTATTTTGCATTGATTCAAAGATGCACATTTTTCCATATTTTAACATCTCCAAACTCTCTGCGATTGAATCCAAAATGCCTTACAGTCGCTGTCCTCTGGCATCACGTGACCTGGTTGTCATTGTGTGCAACTGCAAACTTGTTCACAGCTGTTGCTCTTGTCATCACTTCAAGAGGATTATGTGCTGTGTTGGGACTGCACGTGCCGGTTTAATTGCTGTGTAACAGGCTTTCAGGAAGATTATACCATGATTCAGTACTGAAAGGAAAACTTACAGTATATTCAGAAAGGTGAGGACACAGAGTAGGGGGGTATATATTTGTTACTGGTCAAGTGCATGTTCATCAGAGGAGGAATGATTGCAATTCCATTACCTCTTGCAAAACACACCATGTGTTTTCCACGTGCTACTCAAAGTGTGGTCCATGGACCAGCAAGCATCACCTGGGACAATGGTGGAAGTGTAGAATCCCAGACTCGTCCTTACACCTACTGAGTCAGGATCTGTATTCTAGCAAACCTCGCAGGTCGCCGTGCAGACATTAACGTCTGAGGGCCCCTCTTTAGAGCACACAAAGCAGAGCTCAGTTACACTGACTTATTAAAGCACTTGCAAGGGAAGCCCATCTAAGTTACTCAGACTCCAGCCAAGGCAGACACCTTCACAAGAACTCCCCGACCTGGGTCAAGATGCAAACTGGAAGGAGGAAATCTCAGCTCAGTTCTCCTGCTTCCATCACCTGGGACAAGAGGTGGCTGAGGGATGAGATGCATCTCATGTAAGTGTGACAAAGTCAATGTCCTAAGATACTCCAGAAGACCCTATTCACAGGGTTCCAGGAACCTGCTTGCAAACCCAGAAGTCGTCTCCCTATGCACCTTCTTTTAACTCCAGATTATCAATTCCATCTGTGCAGAGGCTATAAATCATGTGTTTAGTATAAACTGAGCTGGTGTCAGCTGAAGAAGAAGCAATGAGTCAGGGCAGCTTTTGCCCATGACCTTGTTGGAGGTTCTCCAGACTACAGCTGTCAATCACATCTCTCACCAAAAAACTCCCGCCGTTGCCCTGCCTTATCCGCAGAGCGGAGATATGTTCCAAGACCCCCAGTGAATTCCCAGAACCTCAGCTCGTACCAAATCCTATGTATACTTTTCTTTTCTGTACATGCATACCTATGATAAGGTTTAATTTATGAATTAGGCACAGTAAGAGGTTAACAACTAATAATAAAATAGAACAATTATTACAATATACTGTAATGAAAGCTATATGAATATGGTCTCAAAATATCTTACTGTAGTGTACTCACCTTTTCACTTAAAGGAAGCTCCTGACGGCTTGTCCTTGGCACACCTGAACTGCCAGCATCGCTGCTCTTGCGCTTTGGGGTCAGCGTCAACTGAAGTGTGGGTGAGCTGAACACAAGCACTGTGATGCCAGGGCAGTTGAGCTGATCACTCAGGGACTCACGGTGGGGAGCATCCATGGTGAGAAGACCCTGGACAAAGGGATGAGACACATTCAGGGTGGGAGGGGCAGGGCCTCTCGAGATTTCGTTACAGTACTCAAATGGCGTGCAGTTTAGAACTTGTGAATCATTTATTTCTGGAATTTTCCATTAAGTATTTTCAAACCGCGGTTGACCACGCGTACCTGTAACCGCGGATAAGGGGGGACTGTTGCGCTCTGCTCCTGGGGTGCACTACATCTAGAGGTAAAAGGAAGCAAACGCTGTGCTCTGCACTCCATCCTGAGAGGCAGGCAGGGTTTTGTGCTCATTCTTTGACACATCGGTAAGAAGTCCCTTGGAGAGCTTATGTCGCTTCTGTATCAAAAGTAGCAGAGGCCCAGAAAGATGTATTTTGATATTCGGACCCCGGTTTCTCAAAAATAGCGCTCCTCCTCCTTTTAAGGAAGCCCTAGCAAAGGGCGATGTAGGCACTGTGTGTAAATCACCCTCTCCCTCGCCCCAATGTTGGGACAAAGGACCCCTCCTCCGTGCAGTGTGTTTTACTTCCGGAGATTTGCTGACACCTGCTGACAAGTGGAAGGAGAGCACCGAGTCAAGAAGTTTTTTCTCGAAGGGTATCTTGCTGCCCCGCAAAGTTGAAGGTGGGAGGGGCCCAAGAACTTCACCAGAGGAGACAGTGAAGGTCAGAGCCCCGAGCACAAAGAAGAAACGCCAGGAGGTCTGAACCCGCCCAGCCCTCAGGCCCTACAGCTGGAGCCTTGGGACCCCCAACCATGCCGCATAAACTCTATTGCCTCCCCCCCCCCCCGGGGTGGTCTGACGCCAGGCCTCACGTGGTCTGTGCTCTGAGGAGCTTGTAACAGGTGATTTATCTCTAACAATGCAAGTAATAAATCTCACTCACCAACTGAGCAAATTGCCACAAATCCTTGTCTCCGCCTTCCTGTAGCACTACTATGCGATAGATTCTAGAGTCATCCTTAGTTTCCATCAATATTAGGTTGCTATTTAGGTTAGTGGTGAACATAAATACACACACACACACACACACACACACACACACACACACACACGCATGCACACAAACGCCATGCCTTTTACTGGTGAGGAGGACCACGGAGTCTGGGCTTTTAAGAGCATGTAGTACCACTTCATCCCAATAGGTGGAGACAAGCAATCAGCTAAAGTGGATTGAGTTTCTGCACTCGGGCCTTGACAACTATTTTACAGTATTTTGCAGCGCTTGACAAGCTTTAAATTTGTTGGGATGAGTGAACAGGTGGGTGGGAGCCCACAGCCACCCATCTCATTCCTATTCCTGCCCGGAAAGGATTCCTGTGGTTATCAACAGGGGAGGGGAGGAGAGGGGGAAAAGGTGCAGAGAATAAGTAGTATACATGGTAGGTAGAAAATAGACAGGGGGAGGTTAAGAATAGTACAGGAAATGTAGAAGCCAAAGAACTTATATGTATGACCCATGGACATGAACTAAGGGGGTGGGGAATGAGGGTGCAAAGGAGTACGCAGGACAGAGGGGAGCAAAGGGGGGAAAATGAGATGACTGTAATAGCATAATCAATAAAATATATTTTTTAAAAAATGTGTTTCCAGAAAGACAGCATGTTCCACTGTGAAAATGTCGCCTTGAGTACAGAACATTGATCATGCGATAATGGATGGAAGTCACTGGTGAACTTGTTAGAAGCCATTTCTGTGGAATCCTAGGAACAGAGAACTGATTGGACTTAAGTGAAAAGAAATCGTGGGTGAAGCCCTGGCTCGAAGCTCAGTTGGTTAGAGCATCATCTTGATAAGACAAGGTCAGGGGTTCAATCCCCCATCAAGGCACATACAAGAATCAAGCAATGAATGAATCAATAAGTGGAACAGCAAGTCAATGGTTCTCTCCCTTCCTTTCTCTTTAAAATCAATCAATCTATTAAACTTTTTTTTAAAGTTGTGAGAACATGGTAGGTGAGGTCACCTTATTTCATTTACCTTGGTAGGAAGCCAATATCTGAGGCAGTATATGAAAGAGGTTGTAACACCAAAGGACACATTTTTAAAGATGGAATTTTGCATTGTACTATCTCGATTCTTATCATATCACTATGGTGCAGACATTGTTCTCAGTTCATGCATGAGAAAGCCGAAAAGTTAATTTTCCACATATCAAAATTTTAAAAAATTAGCAACAAAAACGCTAACATTACATAAGACCTAAATTATTTCCTCTAGACCCTGGCACCTCTTATCAAATTATAAAAACCAAAGGTTAATACTTGTGTTTTCCTGCTCAACACAATGACTGAGTTGAGTGCCAAGCACTATAAATAGCCTTATTTTTTATTATGTTACTTGTTGACTTAAACCCTGTCATTAAATACAGAAATGTTTTTGTCACATTTTCACCATTATTCAGTGTTTGCTCTAATCAACTTTTATAGCCTTTTTCTAGCTATACCTCTCATATACTTAGAGAAAATAACACCAATTTTTGAGTCATCAAAAAGTTTCTTGTTGTATTGCTGTCTTAACTCTCAGTAATACTCAAGACTTCACAGTTTATCAAGGCTTGTAAAGTCCAATTTTGTCTCTCACTGTGACATATTTCCCTTAAAAAGCCTAAACTCGGTCATTTATTCCCCTAAGATAAATACATGCATGTGTGTGTATGTATATGCACAAATACATAGAGCATCTGCTCTATAGCAGGCGATGGATGCAGCTGGAGGAAGACAGAGAAGACTGTGTTAGCCCTGGAGTGAAAGGGGCTGCTGGGGGACACCTGGGACAATGACACTCTGCCAAGGCTGCGATGGCATAGATAGTGGCCTATTTGGTGTAAACTGAGAAAATCTTGTTCTTGAATTTCTATGCAAAACTACAGATTCTTAAAAAAATTTTTAGAGAGAGAGAGAGAAGAAAAGGAGAGAGAGAGACTGATTTTGTGGTTCCACTTATTGACGCGTTCATTGGTTGCCTCTTATATGTGCCCTGACCAGGGATGGAACCCGAAACCTTGGGATGATGCTCTAGCCAACTCAGCTACCTGACCAGGACAAAACTCCAGATTTATTACATGCATTTTCATTTGTCTGGAATTGCCTTAGAATTACTGTTTTCAGAATTTAATTAGTTTTTGTGTTTATAACCATTTTAAAGTGATAAGAACAGATACTACACTTGTTCTTAGCTAAAAGGCCAAGAAGCGATTGTTTATAACTATTTTATATATTAAACATTACACAAATACAACTATGTAGAACATATTCTATATCATTATATGCTATATTACTGTAGTTATGTTAAATAGTTTACATTTCAGACAATGAAGTTCATCAGTCATTCCTGAGAAAAGACCCAGTGCTGCAAGCTGTCGGTGCTGGAATTCCAACGGATTCTGGCCACCAAACTCGGGCTCCTCTCAGCTGCTGGCCTCAGGGCCTGAGAAGCATGCTGGCATGTATCTCAACAGTGTGACCTTCAAGAGAGGCTTTACGCAATTGGCATTTGAAGAGTGGTTGTGACCAACATCCATTTTGCCGGCTCTCCACTGTGCAGTGTGTGGAGAGCCAGCGTGGTTAGCAGCATGTACCTGATATACCTGGTGCCATTTGACCATCCTAAGCACCTTCCTCCTGTCACTGCTCCTGTCTCTCTGACTCTTCTCTATTCTGATTTTATGGCTCAAGTCGTCAACATTTGAAAAGTAAGGATTTGTAGAGGGATAACTAAGATATTGGATTGACTAGAAAGCCCATATGGTTTTTTCTGTAAAGTAAAAGACACATTTTTTTATTTTCACCAATAACTTTATTGATTTGAATATTTTGAGTATGTCAGCTGTCTCTTGCATGGTATGATGTTGATTGTTCTCAATTACTGTCTCGATTTGATTACCCTCAACTTCTACCACAAAGCAACACCCAACAAGAAATCTCCAGCCTGACACTTGACAAACCACTTTTGACACATTGGATCAGTCACGCACTGCACAAATCTTTTTTTGCATTTTACTTGTGTTTTTACCTTTCTTGAAATAATAAGTATAATATACTGAAAATGTTGCTTATTTTCTTCCATCTTTAATATTAAATAGCTACTCAAAAATTCACCAATTTCAATAAGTTTTTTTTTTAAATGCATGCTGATATAACAGCTTTTACAATACAATGAAGTTAAAGACAACTAAGCACTAATAGAGCCAGCTTATGAGGGAAACAAACTTTTTGGCCAACCCAATAACTCTGGGCCAGCAATGGATGAGGTCACTTTTGTCCCAGTACAGGGACATGCATGAGATGAACAGGCTGCCAAGGGCTGGAACAGGCTCCATCTCCCAGCAGAAAAAGAGGCAGGTCTTGGGGACAACCTTTACTTTCTTTACAAAGTGCCCTGTTCGGGGCTTAGTTTACCATGGGGACCGGAAACATGACTGAATGTTGTTATGGGTTAAATTGTGTCCCCTAAGAGGTTATGTTAAAGTGTTAACTCCCAGAACCTCAGAATGAGACCTTATTTAGAAATAGATCCTTGCAGATATAATCAACTCAGTTAAGATGAAGTTACACTGGAGTACATGACTGGTGTCCTTACATGTAGAAGGAAACTTGGACACAGGCACATAGGGAAAAGGCCATATGGGGATGGGGGCAGACGCTGGCATGATGCTACCACAAGACAAGGCACACCGGGGTCCACCAGAAGCTGGGAGAGGCGAGGAAGGACTCCCCACTCCCCACAGGCTTCAGAGAACACACAGCCCTGCTGACGCCTTGAGTTCAGACTCTGGCCTCCAGAACTGTAAGAGAATACATTGCTGCTGTTTTAGGCCATCCCTGTGGGTGCTACTTTGATATAGCAGCCCTAGGAAACTCATTTAAGTGTTAAGCAAAAAATAAACAAATCCCATGCCCTGGCCAGTATGGCTCAACTAGTTAGAATGCTGTTCCCAGTGTTGTTGGAGTCATTCCCGAAGGGTCACGGGTTTGATTTCCGGTCGGGTCGCATGCCTAGGTTGTGGGTTTGATCCCAGGTTACGGATCAATGTTTCTCTCCCTTTCTCTCTTCCTCCCTCCCTGCTCTCTAAAATCAGTGGACATGTCTTCAGATGAGGCAAAAAAGTAAAAAATAAAATAACTAAACTACAAGCGCCAATATTACACAAAAGCCACGCAAGAAATAAAAGGGAAAAAAGTCATAAAGTAGCTTAATGAAATCCTTGTATTTCTTGTTCTGGGAGATGTTATTAATAGACTTCTTCACACTTTCTTAATGTCCTCACTTACCAGTTCACATAGGAAAATAAACTTTCAAGATTGTGGCATATCCTGGCCCTTTGTTCCAAACTCTGGGAATAAAGAAAGACACACCTACAGTCCATATGGCCTTGGTTTTTATAATAAATGAAACTTTGTGGGTAATAAAATGGAAATAAATAGGTATGTATCAGTGATTGAATGTAAAAAAAAATAAACCAAGAAGCAGAACAGAAACAGACTCATAGATATGGAGAACATTTGGGAGGTTGTCAGATGGGAGGGGGGTTGGGGGATGGGTGAAGAAGGTGCAGAGGTCAAGAAGTACAGAATAGTCATGTGGGTGTAAAATACAGCAAAGGGAATAGAGTCGATAATATTGTAACAACTGTGTATGGTGTCAGATGGGTACTAGATTTATCAGGATGATCACTTAGTAAGTTATAGAAATGTCTAATCACTGGTTTGTATACCCAAAACTCATATGATTTTGTATATCAACTGTAATTGAAAAACAAAAAATTACTTAAGGTCCGAAAGTAAAACTTCAGCTAAATCCTGAACTATACAACAGATCAAGTCTGACATGCTTATAAAGCTGTTTTTCAGAATGTGTTTTTCCATTATAGTAATAAAAACTCTGAATGGCAAGCTCCAGTCGTGCTTCCCACTGCCTCCCCCCAAACCACTTTGTCTGGGGTTGAGAAATAAAGAGAACGCATTGCTTTCATCATTTCTTGGCCATACACACTTGGGCAACTTATCTTTTCTGAGTCTTAGTTTCATAATTTTTAAAAAACAATTCCTACTCTGCAGGTGAGTTTAAGTATAATGAGAATTTGGACCAAGAGCCCTAACCCAAGAAAAACAGGTGTTCGGTCCCCCCACATTCTCATCCTGGCTGTTGGCCATTTCTGCAAGACTTGCAGAATGTTACCCCCAAACCTCTTTGCCACCATTACCCTACCCCCCAACTCCTGACTCAATATACAGAAGACTTAAAACAGCAAGGAGATGCTGATGGCAACGGCCAAGATCTAGAACACTGACAACACCCAATGCTGGAGAGAGTGTACAGCAACTTTCACTCCTGGTGAGAACACAAAGTGCCACAGCGACTTTGGAAGACAGGTTGGCAGGTTCCCGCAAAACTAAATATATTCTTGCCATACATTCCAGCAACCGCACTTGCTGGTCTTCATCCAAAGGAGATGAAAACTTATGTCCACATAAAAAACCTGCAGATGGGTGTTTATAGCAGCTTTATTCGTAATTACCAAAATTTGGAGGCAACCAAGATGTTCTTCTGTAGGTGAGTGGATAAACTGTGATCCATCCAGACAATGGAATATTGTTCAGGCTAAAAAGAAATGAGCTATCGAGTCATGAAAGGATGTGGAGAAACCTTAAATGTGTATTACCAAGGAAAGAAGCTGATCTGAAGGCCACACACTGTATGATTCCAACTACATGACTTTCTGGAAAGGGAAAACGGTGGACAAGGTGACAAGATCAGGGGTTGCCAGGAGTCTCGAGAGAAGCAGGTGAATCGGTGAAGCACAGAGGAGATTTGGAGCTGTGAAACTGTTCTGTACAGGTGAATCGGTGAAGCAGAGAGATTTTGGAGCTGTGAAACTGTTCTGTACAGGTGAATCGGTGAAGCACAGAGGAGATTTGGAGCTGTGAAACTGTTCTGTACAGGTGAATCGGTGAAGCACAGAGGAGATTTGGAGCTGTGAAACTGTTCTGTACAGGTGAATCGGTGAAGCAGAGAGATTTTGGAGCTGTGAAACTGTTCTGTACAGGTGAATCGGTGAAGCACAGAGGAGACTTGGAGCTGTGAAACTGTTCTGTACGACACTGTAATGGTTGGATACATGTCATCATACATTCGTCCAAACCCGAGGAACATAGACAGTGCCAAGAGTGAGTCCTACTGTGGACCACAGGCCTGGGCGATACTGATGTGTGAAGGTAGGTCCATCCTGGTACCAACCTTGTGCCTAGGGAGGGATGTTGGTAATGGGGGGACTGTGCATGTGTGGGGGCAGTGGGTTTGTGGGAACTCTCTGTACCTCCCTCTCGATTTTGCTGTGAGCCTAAAACTGCTCTAAAAAGACGAAATCTTTTTTTAAAAAGATATAGAAGACTATAGGTTCACTAGAGAGGCTGGTAGAGAGCGTATCCTGAAGAAAAAGCCTGGGGTGCAATGTCCCCCAGAGGACAGAAAAAGAGGCTCCCCTTTCACGGAGCAAAAGAGGCTCTGTTTGCTGCTTTAGGCCAAATGGATATGGAATCCGGAAAACAGTAGAAAACCTGAAGCACAGAGGACACGTGGACTGGTGTCGGACTTAGGCCTGTAAAAGGTCTGAGAGCCTGAGGCTGTGGCTGAACTCCCCTGAAGGCAGAGGGAGGAGAGATTGGGGTGATGGTCCCCATGAGCCAGAGGGGCACCCCGTGGAGGGAACAACCTTGATCTGTGTTGAGAGAGAGGAGGAGATCCTGACCCACAGGGAGTCAGACTGTGTAAGAAGTTGGAGGAGCCAGGCCAGGGAATCATAACTGGTTGTGCCCAGTGGGGGTCTCTAAGATCCCCACCAAAGGACCCCGGGAGACAATGAGTTAGTATTTGGCCGTCTGCCACACCTCAGTGGGCAGGTTGTCACTGCTGCAGTCAGATCCAACCTTTCCAGCCCCCCAGCTCCTCTCTCTTTTCCCTTGACCCCAAAGGAGCACAGTAGGAGGCAAGCCCTGGCCCAGCCTCAACGCAGGCCTCCCAGCCTGAGGTGGAAGAACCTAAAAGGCCAAAACACAGTAAATTTAGTGTGTGATTGGTATTTTGATATTGGGCTGCTTAATATCTGAAAGGGACAAGAGAGGCTATGAATTCGGAAATTCATCCAAGGGCAGCAAAGAGCAATTCTACAGAGAAGTATAAAGATGCAGCATTGAGAA